TCTCTCTCTCTCTTTCTGCCTCTCTCTCTTGCGCGCTCACACACACACATATATACATACACACGCATACACACGCACATTTGTGAATGGTTGGCGGGTGCTCTGGTGTGGTTTGCTCCTTCTTTCCTATAAAAAATCTATCCTCTTTATCTCCCCTCCTTCTTTTTTTTGTTTGTTGCTCTTCTTGTAACACCTCTAATCTTCGGCACTTATATGACCTTACTGTGTTGCAAGTGCCGTAAAACTGTTATGAAAACGAAAACACACACATTTATTCAAACTCACAAACACAAAGACTTTCCCAGTTATCGGCTTATCACCAATTCTTTGATATGACTCATCATCATCATCATCATCAGTGCATTTCATCCCTGCAGGGTATAGGCCACATACAAGCTCTTTCCATTGATCTCTATCCTGGGCCGTCCTTCCTAGCTCATTCCAAGTGTGCTTCATCTCTCTCATGTCCCTTTCCACACATCTCCTCCATGTTTCTCGTTGCCTACCCCTGCCTCATGCTCCCCGTGGGTTCCATTGCTGTGATGATATGACAATGCCCTCATGCAAACTCTCTCTCTCTCTCTCTCTCTCCCTTTCTCCCCGGTCCCAGCATCATATGACCTGTCTGTCCTGGGCAGCTGGCCGTGGCTACACAGAGGTGGTCAAGCTACTCATTGACAAGGGAGCAAAGGTCAACATGCCAGACAAGGTGAGTGGGCTGTCGGTGGGTGCTCTGGTGTGGTTTACTCCTTCTTTCCCTAATAAATATCCATTGTCATGTCTCCTCCTTTTCTTTGTTTTTGTTACTCTCTATTAACACTTCTAATCTTTAGCACTTTCATCACTTATTTATATTGCAAGTGCCATAAAACTCATACTAAAACTAGTTTTTAAAAACCCTAAGAGACAAGGTGAGTGTCTCGCTTTTGGCTTTGGAGTTCATTTCCGGCCAGGGTCTTCATGTGCATTCTCGCGATGTCTGTTGTGTAACTGTTAGGTTTTTTATTATTGGATGGAAGATGAGAGTTCGTTTCTAGAATGTAGAAGCTTTTTTTTTTTAATCGAGTGTCTCCGTCTGTATGTTAGTATATTGTATCCCATTACGTAAGGATTAGCCCTGACAGGAAGGTTCGATGCAGTTCACCTCCTGAATGTGTCATGGTACAACTGCCCTGATCTGGGCTGGTTCCTCGACACCCCCCCCCCTGTAATCTTTTCCCTTCTCTCTAATGAGAAACCCTACATTACATTTGTTTCTTACATCGTTTGTATCCCCAGTATGGTACCACTGCCTTGATCTGAGCTGACTCTAATTCAGACCTGAACCATAACCCTCTCCCTACTTTTGTCTAATGAGAAACCCTACATTTACATTTGTCTCTTGCATTGTTTGCCTCCCCAGTATGGCACAACTACCCTAATCTGGGCTGACTAATTCAGACTCGAACCGTAATCTTTTCCCTTTTCCATAAATGAGAAACCCTACTTTACATTAATTTGTCTCTTGCATTGTTTGTATCCCCAGTACGGTACCACTGCCCTGATCTGGGCCTGTCGCAGAGGTCACCTGGACATTGTGGACGCTCTCCTGGGAGAGGGTGTGGCCGTTGACGCCTCAGGCATGGTCAGTCTTGGCTTTGTCTGCCAGTGTACTAATGGCTATTGAACAGAGAAGTTTTGTACCGTTATTAATTGCTTCTACTATAGATATGTAGACTGGCGAAGTGCTAACGACTCTCGCTTGTTTAATTATTTATTGATTTAACTTAGATGAAAATAATTGTAATAATAATTATGATAATAATATTAGTAGTGATAGGAACTATATCGATATTCATCATCATTATTATAAGTTAAAAATTAATCATAACAATCATAATGAATTACAATTATACAGTATACTTCCATTTGGAAAGTGTTCAATGCGCTTTTCAATTGTACAAAGTACTTGGGTCCAATAGTGATCCTTTCGCTTCCTCCCTTTCCTCTCTCTCTTCTTGTCTGTCTGTCTGTCTGTCTGTCTGTCTGTCTGTCTGTCTGTCTGTCTGTCTGT